GCCCGAATCACCTCAGGCTCATTGGATCAGATTATTTCCTGGCATGTGTGGGCCCAGGCCTGGGCAGGACAACTGGCCTCTCCATGAAAACAGTTCAGTACGGATGAGCCTGGCTTCTTCCTGCCCATTCCCTGAGCCCAGGTGCCCCTCAGAGCTGAGCCAGGAGGATGGGGGGTGGACCGAGGGTGTGTTGCACAGCTTGAAGGGGAAGGAGGGGTGATGAGCAGCCGCCTTGTTGCCCCACTGCCCGGAAAGCCTGGGATGTCCACTGGCCAGCTCTGCCGTCTGCAACCACCAGGGCATCAGCTGGAACCTTGAAAGATCCCGTATCTGGGCCCAGATTCCAGCCTAGGGACTCGGGGAATTGGGCTCAGCTTTGGGGACGGCTGGATCAGGGAGCTCGACCCACCTTTGGTAGGGGGGCTCCAGGGAAAGCAGAGCTGACAGTTTGCACCAGTACACAGGTCCCAAATTCCCCAACCCCGTGCAGGCAGAGCTCAAGGGTTGAGGGATTATAGGGGCGCAAAACCTTTTTCTTTCTATCTCTCCCTCACTTTGGATTTTCAGACTCACGAAGAGGCATCGCTTGGGGCCGGCATCTCACACGCAGGTCAGCACGGATCCTGCAGACAAGTGATGACTCAGCTGAGCCCCAAGATCCCCCAGAGTGAGTGTGATGTTCAGGGGAGCCACAGAAGGGAGGGACAGACCACCCAAGAGTCTAGGGCAGGCTTGGGAGAGGAGGTGAAGCAGGGGCTGAGTGTGCCTGTCAGAGATTGGGAAGAGTATCACAGGGGGGGGGGACGTGCCTGTAGTTGGTTGTCGTGGGGACTGGAGGCATTTGAAGGTGCAGGCCTTGTGTGGGGCAGGTCATGGGGACCCTGGAGCCAGCTGAGAGGTGCTATCTGAGCAGCGTTCGGCTGGTGATGGTCACCCAGGCTCCGCAGACACCCTCCTTGGTGAGTCTGATGTCTGGGCCCGGGGTTTGCACGCCATGCATCATCCCTGTGGTCGGGACCCTCAGGTGCAAGTGACAGAAACCGAAAGCTTCAGCAGACATGAAATGTATTGGTTCCTGTGGCCAAAAGCGCAGAGCTGGACTGCTTCCAGCTTGTCTGGACGGGCCTGCTTCTCCCACTCTGGGTCCTGCCCTCTGTGTCCAACTACTTCCAGGCCAGCATGGCCACTGGCAGCCCCTGTGTGCACGGCTTAGCACCAGGGGAAGCTTCTCATCTCCAGACCCAGGCACTGTCCCGGCTGAGGCTCCGACGGGGCCAGGTGAGGTGCCACCTCCAAACCACAGGGACCAAGGGGAGTCTCCCCAAAAGAAAAGCAGGATGTGCCCTGTTCTTCATTTTTGCCTCACCTGCCCACCCTCCCCAGGCACCTGGTCCAGCCCCTACCCCCAGCTTTCTGACCACTGGCTTCTGTAGTCCCCTCTCCCTGCGAACCCCTGGTGCAGAGTCCTCATGGTGCCTGGAGGCCCTGTGACCCAGGCCTGCCCTCAGGGCATTCCACCGCACTCAGAAGGGCCAGCGCTTGACGTTTCAACCTCTGCGGTCACCATCTTGATATTCTTAATATTTTTGTCCTTGAACTTGTGTCTTGTAAAGTGACATCCCATGGGATGATGTGTTGGGGGTTTGGGGGTCTCCCTGTTCCCCTTCCCCTAGGACAGATTCTTAGCTGTCCACTCCACTGTCCTCTGCCAGGTCACCGCTACTGCCCGTCCCCCCAGCAGGGGTCTGGGTGTGAACATGGAGGGCACCCAGTCACAAGCATGGGCTTGGGGAGCCTATGAGGGCCTGTGTTCCCCCTCTGAACACCCCCTGCCCCAGGGAGTGTGACCTTAAGCAGCAAATAATAAATGTCATGACAGGCCCAGAGACAGATGGCAGAGAGTGAGCCCAGGTGTTCACCTTGCACAGAGCCAGCTGTGCTGGGCCCTCCTGGGCTGAGAGCTGCCCCCCCCTGCCAGGTGAGGGGAGCCCCCCCGACCGAGCCGTGCAGGGTGATTTGCCACAGCCTCATCTCATTGCCAAGGTTAATGCCGCCTGAGCTGGGACAACAGTGCAGAGCACCCCAGCTCCCACTGTCGCATCGACCGCCAGCAGGGTGCCTCTATATCCTGCCCCCACACCGGTGAGACATCTGGGTGACCACCTGGCACTGTCTTTGGGGACCGAGGAAGCAGAAGATGCCACTGGCAAAGTGGAGTTAAGATTCTAAAAGCTCAGCTCCTGGAAAAGCAGGGAAGGAGCTGACCAGCAGAGACTGGCATGGGGAGGGGTGCGGCCGGCACTTCGGGAAGTCATGCAGAGGGGGTGGAGCTGAGGGTGCCCGCTGAGGACAGGACAGACTGCTGGGTGCCATGGATGGTTAAAGTCCTCCAGCTGGCCATGGGTTCACTGTGTGGCCCCGGTGAGCTCTCTAACTTCTGGGAGGCTCAGCTGCTCCTGGCCCCCAGAGCTGCTGACGCCTCACTGGTCTGCTCTCAACCCGTTATCGTGCACCTCCCCGCGCCAGGCTGTCTACCCGCACTGCACGCAGCAGTGGATACCAGCCCGGCCTGGCCACGGGGAGCTGCCCTTCCAGTGGGCATGCAGCTGCTTTGCATCCTGGCTCCAAGTCCTAGCTGACGAGCTGCTGCCCCCCGAGCCTCTGTGCTGGACGGGGCCCCGGAGGCCTTCCTGAGGCCAGACCAGCGCCCCTCCTGGCTGTCTCAGCTCTAACCCAAGGTGACCTGTTTATCCCCATCTGTCTCCCTTCTGGGTCACAGGGCAGCATCTGGCTCATTCTCTGTCCCTGTGCGTGGTTCCTTGTACACAGCAGGCGCTCAATGGCTAAGCTGAGCCACTTTTCAGGCTGCGTCAATGTTCCCCAGTCCCCTTGCCAGCTCCTCAGGGCAGAGACTGCTGCATACCCTCAGCACCCCACATAAGCAGGTACTCAATGAACACTTATGGAATGAACGACCCAATTAAATATTTAAAAAGAGGAGGTTTCGAACCTGTAAAATGCTGTGACTCACAGCAGGCATGTCAAGGTTACTTCTGGGGGTGGGGGGGCACATGTCTGGAGAACATGAGCAGGTTTTTTGGGGATGAAGCAGTTCCACGGAAAGCTCCACAGAGGAGGGGGTTTCCGGAAGGAGGCCCCTGATTAGGAATAAACTTGGAGTTTAGCTGAGGTGACCAGAGAGCGACTGGATGCTGGTATGGGTGCTTTCACTACTCATTGGGTGGACAGGTGTCGTTTGCAGCCCCCCAAAGGCCAGTTGTTGGGTGAGCTATGTCCAGCCGCCAGCGGAGAGTTTGCTCCAGCCAGGCAGTCACCTGCACTCAGGGCCACCAGCTGTTAGGCCCCGCCCCCAGCTTGGATGAGTCCACGCAGCCTCTTTTGGGAGCCATGGGCCACATCTGACACAGCGAATCCACCTGGGCGGGGATGCTCAGTGCAGCCTGAGCCTGAACAGCCCAGGAATGACCTTGGGAGGGACGAGGGTAGCAGTGGGTGGTCACTGATCGCTTCAGGGAGATGCAGAGCTGTGTGCAGGGGACAGACAGACCCATGCGTACATGTGCAGTCCGGGTGGAGGGCTAGGGAGTGCGACTGCGGATGTCTCCCACCTTGTACCTTCAAGTACAAAGATGGGGTTTTGCCTTAGCCTGAGCTGCCCATGGCCCAAGTATATCAAGGTGCTGGACCCAGATTCATCTGCAGGGCATCACATCTTCCTCGGGGCCTTGTGCCCAGCCTGCCTTTCCCATCCTTAGGTCAGACAGGGCCCCAGGGAGACCCAACGATGAGCAATGTGGTGCAGTGGACTCCCCCATGGCCCACCCACCTGCTGGAGCCATCTACACCTCCTCCTACAGCCGCTAGAGATGTTGTCTGGTACCCCACTGATCCTGTCTCTCCAGCGCCGGTGTAGTCTCTGAGCCTGTCTTGGGATCCCACTATGATCCTAGCAGTCTCCATCTACCCTGCTTAGTGCATAACCTGCCTGCTGGCATCCCCCTTGGCCCTGCTTTGGAGAGCGATCTTCTGATGCCCACCTGCCTGGCTCCCCACCGTGAACCAGCATCCTAGGCCTCTCTCCTTCATCAGAACCCTGGGCTTGTGAAGGTTACAGGAGTGAGCAGGAGAGAGAGCGAGGGGAAGGAAGAAGAGACCCATCTGGAAGCCAAGGTAGGAAGCGGCCACAGGGGCTCTGGAGCTGGGAGCAGGGTCCAGGCTGGGGGCCCTACACTGGGAGGGGTGGGGGTGAGTGAGGAATAGAACTGGACTCCTTTCAGGAAGTCGGAGCCAAGAGGGGCTGTCCATCCTTAACCAGAGACCAAAAGGCCCCGTGCCCCTCCTGGACTACGGCACAGTGTGGGGCTGAACTCTCTTTTCCTCCCCATGGTGAAATTGGGGTCAAGACTCCAACACGCAAACCGGTGACAAACTAGAGACCCAAGAGAGCGCTGGAAAAGCAGGACCCTCAAGGAGGCCCAAGTACAGGGCTCCCCAGGAACAGCCGTTGCAGAAAGCAAGGACACAGACAAAACTTGGGAAGCCCAGAGGTGCAGCCCCAACGGCCGCAGAGCTCCACTGAGGGTGCCCCTCTGAGGAATGTCTGCGGGGCGTCTGGGTGAGCGGCAGGGTAGTCTGGGGTCCAGCCTGCCGTAAGCGGCTTCAGGTAGGTGGTCGTGCTCGCCGGCTCAGCTGCTTCTTCAGACCTCGGGGATACGCACAAGGCGCCAGGGGCTGAGGCGGGAGGGGCGCACCGAGGAGCCCAGCCGCTAACCACCCGCCGCTTCCCGCTCGGCCCCCCGCCGCCCGCCCGCAGGTCGCCCACGTGACTTCCCGGGCTCGCCCCGCCCCCGCCGCGCCATTCCGAGACCCGGGCGCGAGATCCGTCCCGCCGGGCGATGGCGCGCAGGCGCGGCCGTGGCGGCCTGTCGGCGCTCCCGGCCTGCTCTGCGCGCGCTGACGTCGCGCAGCCTCGTCCCTCGCCGTCGCCGCCGCCGCCATTGGGGTCGGCTCCTCGGCAGTGCGTCCCGTCCAGGCTTGTTGCCCTGCGCCGCGCCCCGCGAGCGGCCCGCGCGCCCAGTGGTCGCCGCCGCCGCCGCGCGGCCGGCGCCCGGGGAGGAGGCGGCGGGCCCTGGGCCGCGAGAGCGCGGGTGACAGGCCCGGCCTCGCGGGGAGGCCCGAGCCGGCGGGCGCCTCGGCCCCGCGCCTCGCCGGGCTGTTCATGAAGCATGTCGGCCACCAGCGTGGACCCCCAGGTAGCGGGGCCGGGGGCCGGGGGCGCGGGGCGTCGGGGGCGTCGGGGGCGCCGGTGCGCGCGGGGCCCGTTCGGGCCGGAGCGCGCCGCACGCCTGGGACGGGTGCTCGTGAATAACTTTGTGTTTCCCTTCTCCCGGGTTCCGTCTGCACGCACGTCCCGGCCTGCGGCGACGCAGAGAACAAAAGGACAAGATACTAAAGGTGAGCCAGGTGGGCACGGGCTGTGCAGGTCCCGGGGAGGCGGAGGGGGGGCAGGAGCCCCCCGAGCGACAGCGGGCTCTGCGGGGGAGGGAGAGGTCCAGGAAGGGCATCTGGAACCGGAAACTTTTCTCCGTGTGCTTCCGGGAGATAAAATTTTAGGTTGTAGCGTTTGGGGAGGTTTGGCAGTCTGAAAGCGGGCTTTTCAAGGAGAAGTAAACAAATGGGCGGTCCGAGTGATCCCCCTCGTCCCCACTGCAGGGGGCGGGTCGGAGTGGGGGGAGGGAAGGAGGCGGCGGGGTGGGGGTGGCGGGCTGGCTGCGGGCGCGCTGGGCGGCTCTGGGGCCACCCTGCCAGCTAGCTCGGGACCCCAGCACTTACAGCCCTTGCTTTGCGAGTCTCGGGTCATCTCTTGTGATTTTGTGGCTTCGGATAAACCCCCGAAACTCCGGGGCAAACCCGCAAGTGACACTTCATGTTTACCGGGTAGGCGGTTTTTAAGCAGTGTGTGTTACTCGGGTGTAACCAAATACGGTGCATCGTGTTTTAAGACTGGAAAAGGCCCAACGCTTTATTTACCTTTGCTTTCCCTTTTTGGCTGAGCATTGTAACAGTGGAAAGTAAGTGGGGAGCGGGACAGCAATGAGTTCAGAAAGGTCATCCAGTTACAGCCCCTCCCAGCTGAGCCGCAAGCTCCCTGGGTCTCTGTCCTGCACGCGCTGTGGGGCCTGTGGAAGCACCCACCTCTGTTTGGCCTACATAGTCTTCCCAGACCACGCCTTGCGTTATTTTGTCTGCACTTGCATCTTGTCAACTTCTACCAAACTATGACTAAATCTTTATCAAAAACACTCAAAATTGGGACGCCTGGGTGGCTCAGATGGTGGGGCGTCTGTCTGCCTTCCGCTCAGGTCATGGTCCCAGGGTCCTGGGATCGAGTCCCACATCGGGCTCCTGGCTCAGCGGGGAGCCTGCTTCTCCCTCTCCCTCTGCCTCTCTCCCTGCTCATGCTCTCTTTCTCTCTCTGTGTCTCAAATGAATAAATAAAATCTTCAAAAAGAAATTCTAAAAAATCAAAATTATCAGAAGTTCTGCATCACCATTGTAGGTAGTTATGTAAATATCAGTGGGATACTGATCGTGTTCTTTTTTTAAATAAAAGCGACTTCTAGGAATTGATGGATGTAGACTTTACAGCTTTTGATTTCTATGCCTAAAAGTGATTTTCTTTAATTCAGAGATAATATTTTTCAATTTCTTCTTCTAGTGCAAAATGGTTCTTTGCATCAGAAGGATACGGTCCATGACAATGACTTTGAGCCCTACCTTTCTGGACAGTCAAATCAGGTGAGTTGTTGTTGTTTTTAATAACCTACTTTCTGTGTTAGTTTTTCTTGAGTTTTGTAATGTACCTTTACTGTTACGTTTCTGACTTTATTATCCTAACAACCAAGAAGCACAATATAAAACATTAGAAGTAGCATGCTGACGACTTGCTTGGACGAGTAGCCTTGAGCTACATGTGGGGCATGGGTGGGGCTGCTGTGCTCTCTGGAGGAAACAGTGTCTCATGGGGGCGGTATGCACGTGGACTTCTCTTGGTCTCAGCATTGGTGACTCAGTGATGCACTGCTTTCGGCAGAGTGGAGGTGTGTGGAGTTCTTTGAAACTTCCTGGTGAGTTGTTTTGGCTCTGGGCATTAGAATTGTGGTGTAGGAGAGCATCTAAGAACCAAGCTCTGGCGTCAGACTTTGGCCTTGGGTTCAAATCTTTGCTACATCGCTGACTCCATGACACTTCCTCAGGTGGCTTGCCTTCTCTGTGTCTCAGGTCCCTTTTCTGTGGAACTGGTTGTGGTAACTGCTCATATAAAATTGTTAGGAGGGTAACAGTAGGTGGGCCACATGAAGCTCCAGCTGGTAGCTGTGCAGGCCCCGGTAGGTCACAGCTGCCCGTTTCTTAGATACGTGGCACTACAGATGTTTTGGACTGAAACATTCTTTGAGGTGTGTGTGTTGTAGGATGTTTAGCAGCCTTCCTGGCCTTCATCCACAAGATGCCATTAGTAACTGGCTCCCCTACACACACACCAGCGGGACAACCAAAAATGTCTTGGCAGTGTCTCCTGGGGGCCGGCTTGCCCTTGTTAAAACCACCAGGCTAGTTGAAGTGTAGGTTTAAGCATGATGTCTACCACTTTTTTTTTGAGAGAGAGAGAATGAGAGAGAGAGAGAGCACAAGAGGGGGAAGGGTCAGAGGGCGAAGCAGACTCCCTGCTGAGCAGGGAGCCCAATGTGGGACTCGATCCAGGGACTCCAGGATCATGACCTGAGCCGAAGGCTGTTGCTTGACCAACTGAGCTTCCCAGGCGCCCCATGATGTCTACCACTTTTTAAATGTACTATGTTTGTTTGCTTTAGAATGAAACCAAGTTTAGCCTCTTCTTGCAGAGGAATAAAGTTATTTTGCCTCTTTTTTTCCCTAGTCTGCTCTTATCTAAAGTGTCTTAGAACTTAGAACTTTTCCCCATTTTTGTCCTTCTTATTGCATTGAGCAGGTCAGCAGCAAAAACACCCAGGAGACTCTTTATAGAGCACCAGCCCCCCCCCCAAGAATCCGCCCCTCCTCTGGGCAGGACCAGGTGCTGCAGAGGAGAACTGCCCTGGCCTCAGTGATGCATTGCCAGAGATAATGGCAGGCAGTTAAATGGACTTATTTTATCTTGGTATCTTATTTGTTCCTTACGTGATTTGACTATCATAGCAGTAGGGTGTTCTAAGTTTTAACCAGAGAAAAGTGGTGGGGGGATTGCTTCAAATACACTTGAAGTGTTTTTATAAGGCAGGAGCTTTCATGTTAATTGGGAGGCCTTGGTTGGAAGTGGAGCAGATGATTTTCCGTCAGGAGGGTAGTTACAGCTATTCACCCTGGGGAAGCCAGCTGCGAAGACCGCTCTAGGTAGACGCTCCATGAACAGCCATAAAACAGTCGCTGTTTGTCCCGGCTGTTAGCGTGTGTAGTTTTCAGCAAGATGGTTAATCAGCACATTGCTTGAGAGTAAATCCACGTTCTTGGCTGCGAACAGGTTTTCCAGAAACACTCCACTGTTGGAGTGTAGGAAGCAGGTAACACTGGAGAGCTCTTAGATCCTAATTCTCCTGGTCCTCTTGTTCTGTGGATGAAGAAGAGGCCTGGTTTGCCCAAGTGATGGAGCCAGTTTGTGGCAGAGCTCCGTTCCCCAGTGATGGGGTGGGAGGGTGGGGGGACGTGTCTCTTCCCACCACGGCAAGGGCTCCTTTTGTGCTTGTGTCTGTTGCTCCTTTCTTCTTGGGGGGAGGGGGGCACCATGCAGTGTGGCCTCCTTGCAGACAAGTCCCTGGGGATGGATGACACGTCCAGTTTTGGACTCTGCTGGTGAAGATTGCTGTTGAGGAAAGAAAGCGCCTGCATGCTGGTCGTCCGGGTCTCGGATTGAGGGTACGGCTGCTGCTGAGTGAGTGAGAGAAGTGGTTTGGGTGGCCAGGAGCCGCACGCCTGCAGTCGCCCGCCGTGTGCTCGTCTCGAGTGACAGGCTGCACGTATGTGAAGGTGCACACAAGTGACTCGTCCTGTGCGCGGCCACCACGGTGAAGGCGGTGGGTAGAGCCGGCAGCCCCGCGGTGCTTTGTGGTTTGTTTCACCCAGATGTTTGTAGTAGCAAGTTGGAGCCTCTTTCGGTTTTTGTGTTTGAAGTTTTAATACCTGGGATGATTAGGAAAGTGTTTCAGAGCAGGCCTTTCAAGTTAATTTAACTTGGAATGCACTGTAACGGAAGTGTTGTCCTCGGGGCAGGTGATTTTTTTTTTCCCACAGAAAAGTCTCGGGACACTGCTTCTGGTGTGTTTTTTTTTCCTTCCTAGTTGCCCCCAGGACCATCCTACATTGACGTAGCAGCTCTGGATCCCCTTGTGTGACATGGAACACGTTTCAGTCAGCTTTAGGGAATGGTGGGGGGAGGGAGAACCCTGGGGAGCAGAGGGGCTCTGGGTGGGGCTTTAGGGGAGGGGTTATGGAGGGGCTCTGGGTGGGGATTCTGGGGGAGGAGGGTTCTGTGGGGGGATTCTGGGGGAGGGGTTCTAGCTGAGGATTCTGGGAGAGGTGGCTCTGGGTGGGATTCTGGGGGAGGGGCTCTGGAGAAATTCTGGGGGCAGCATTCTGGGTGGGGATTCTGGGGGAGGGGCCAGGCAGTATGGGCACTATGGGAGTTAAGCAAGGGCAGCTGGGACTACGTACTCAGTTGTCAACACATTGGTTTGCCTGGTCATGTGAGACAGGGACAGAAGGGAACAGGAGTAAACTTTCCTAGTTTTTTCTCAATAATTCAGTTGTGCTGTCAGTGTTAATAGGACATGTTCACTTTATAGGAATGTTGTGTAAACTCTCCTGTTCCGAGTCTCAGTGCTGGTTGCTCGTAGTTGGTTTCAGCTCGTCCTGAAGCATTGTTCTGGAAAGCAATGCCAGCTGTCACCCCGGTGCAGGGAGGCCTGCTCTGCACTTGGAGCAGGACCACCTGAGTGCTAGCGGGGGGTGCTTTAGGGTCAGGGTGTCCTGGGCTCTCTGTGTCTCTTCGTGGACCTGGTACGCCAGCTCTCAGAAGTTACCTCCTGGTTAAGTTGAAATTTGTACCTCCTTACGCTTTGCAGGGAGCTTCTGTCTGGCCTGGAGAGGTGTTCGGTTTATAAAGACAAACTCGTCTTGAAAATTGTGCTCAGCTGTCGCCCAGGGTTTCTGGCAGGTTGGGGGATTTCGCCCACCAGCACAAAGCCAGGCTACACCGATGCCCTGTTGGTGGCCTATGTCACATGAAGAGCCCGTGAGCCCCGTGGCTTATGGCTCGCTCTGTGCTGGGCCGTCGTGGTGGGCTTGGGTGACAGGAGGGGCTGGCGAGGAGTGCATGGTCTTGTAGGCTGTAGCCTCCAGTGATGCCAGCCAGCCAGTGGGGACAGGTCATCACGGAGTGCGGCTGGCGGGGCCTAGTGGGATCTTTGCGTACTTCTCGTTGTCTCCTTGCTCAAAACTACGTACCTCCAGCTGGAGACCGAGGCACACACCCTCTGTGTCAGAAACCGGGCTCCCTGCACACAGCCCCACCAGGCGAGGGCCTGCAGCCACAGTCCTCTTGCTCAGGGACACACGCAGCCGGACCCGTATCCCCAGGGCTTCCGCCACGTGCACCTGCTGGGCCTCAGAGCTTCGTGCCCAGCATCTGCGTCCCTTTGATCCTTTCCCTGTGTACTTAATTTACTTAAGCTTCAGTTCTGGCCATTCAGAATGAGTTCCTTTTCTTTCTCTTTTAGCGTGGCTAAATTTTTTTAAGTATGAAGAAGTTTGAATTTTAGGGTAGACTATTGTGTTTTATTGTGGTTTTTCAGTGGAAATGACGTGGGGATAGTAGTCACTGGCTTTGAAGTCTGTGTTGTCTGTGCCGTTGGTTCATCCCTTTGGGTGTGGCTTTGGGGAAGCCCCCGAAGAGTCCAGCGCCTGGCAGTGTCTCTCCTCACTTCTGCTGCCTACTCTTGCCCTGCGGATGGGTCAGCCTCCCGTTTTTGAGGCCCTGTACTCCACCAAAGGCCGTGTGTAGAATGTGTGCGAGAGCATCGGTCAGGGTGGTGGTTTTACCTGTGTTGTCCTTACGGAGATTTGTTGCGAGGCCGACATGCTGAGGGAAAGCCCGGCGTGTGTTGGCATCCCTGGTACCTGGACTTCTCTTTGGCAGCCCTGGGTGCACAGCGGGCTGAGTAGGCTGCCTGTTTGGTGTCAACGAGCCAGGCTGAGCCGTGGTCAGTGGCAGCGTGTTCCTTGGGAGCAGGCGTTCCGGGCTGCGTCTGGCCTCGTCCGGGGTGGGGCCCCGTCAGTGGGGGTCACATTCCAGATCACCTTCACAAGTGAGTAGAATGTCAGTTTTTCTGGAAGTTGAGGCTGGAGCCATCGGCCCCAACGCATTGCAGGTGGACCGACAGACTGACCGGGGCCGCTGGGAGGAGAGTGTGTGGTCCAGAGAGCAAGTAAGGGGGTGAACACATCCAGGTCTTCTTACAGGATGAATGACTGACTTCACAGAGTTTTGCAGACTGATTTGTTGCTTGGCTTTCAGAGCTTCGAAAGAAAGCTGACCGGTGTAGCAGGAAATAGCTGCCGGTCAGATGGGGTATAGGCAGAAGGTAGGCTCACACACACGGCCTGCCAGGCGCCCCTCGTGCCCCGGTGAGGATGGGCAGCATTGGGAGGAGGCGGGCAGGGCTGGCATGGAGCCCAGCTCCTGGGTGTTGGTGGTGGGCTGCTCGGGGAGTGCCAGGGCCTGTGCGGAGGAGGACCGTGTAAATGCTAGTGCAGGGGTGCACCGCGGTGCCCGGTGGCTCAGCTCCTAGTGGGCCTGCGGCCACCCGTGGACGCTCTCGCTGCAGGACCGCTCCTTCATCTGGCAACCAGAAGTGAGTCTTCGTTGCTTTCGCTATAAGAACATAGTGCTCAAAAAAAACCCCAGCAACATAGTGCTCAGGGGGAGGGGGTTGAGTCCTCACAGCCAGGGCTGACCCTTCGCTCCCAGACACACCCTTGCCTCTGTCTGCCTCCGGAGCAGAGATGCGGGATTCAGGGGATGCCGACCGGGTTGCTTCATCTTTGCCCTGGACAGTCCTGCTTCCGTGGAAGCCACTGAGAACCGCCTCTGCACAGCGGGGTCCGTGGGACTGGAATGCTAGGTTTCTCCACTCACCGGTAGGACTTTAAGTGGTTACTGTAACATATGTTGTCTCGGGTCTTAAGTTATGTCCTGTTATGGTTAAGGGTTAAGTGTGAGTCACGAGTGAGGTACCGACCCTGTGGGAGTCCTGTGCAGAGAGCACCTGGCGTCTCGTGAACTGTCTTTGGATGCTGAGGTCCAGCGACCAAGGCTTTGGTCCATGGGGCTGCCCCGCACCTCGCAGAGCATGTCCTCTGCCCAGACCTGGTGATTTGCTCGCTCTCTTGATTGGCCCCTTCAGGAGGCTTCTTTGAGGGCCCAGGTTGGGTGCGGGCAAACTGAGGGAGAGGTTCTAGGAAAGGGGCCAGAATCACTGAAATCCTTTCAAGGGAGGGTAGCTCCGGCTCTTCCGAGGCTTGTAGAACATCGATGGTGGCCATTTGTTGTCTTTTTTTTTTTTTTAAACTTCCTGAGCATCTTAAGGAGTTTTGTTACAGGGGAAATCGTTAATTCCATTTTAAAAACTGATTTTGGAATAGTCTGCTGTCAAGGAGAGCAGCGAACAGGAAGGAACTGTGATGCTTGAACCCCATGAATCCTCGATGGGACAGGGAGGGGGGAGGTGGCCGTGGGGACTGGCAGCCAGGGGGCTGGGTCGCCACAGGCACGTATTGTGCTGGGACTGCTGGGGGAGCAGCCTGTTCTCCACAGGGTCCTCCAGGGGTCTGCAGAGTTACTCCGCATTCCCACTGCAGGGAAGCGGAGATGCTTGCTTGTCTGGTACTCCAGCCCTCCGTGGCTGCCTCAGCCCAGCTCCCGCCTTGTCAGTCCCTGGGACTGGACGTGGCAGCAGCCACCCTGTGCCAACCGGGGCAGCAGGTCTTCTCACCTGGAGAGAGGTGCGGGGTTGGAGGAGGAGGTCTCTAGCCAGTGCTCTCCATGTAGAACTTCCTGGCTATTTGGGGTGGAAGGTAGGGGAGAGGATGGGGACCAGTCAGAAGATGGTGTCACAGACTGGGAAGCTTGCCGCTGCCCCCCACTCTTGTTTTCCTTTGCAGCCTTTCCACTTTTAGGTCAGCTGCCCTGGGTGGGAGGCCTCCCCCCCCAACACCCCCCAGCACTCACGCCCCACAGGAAACCATTTAAGTCACCCACAGTGGCATGGCCTGGGGGGCCCAGTTCTGGCCAGACCCCCAGTGAGTCTCTCCCCAAGGAGGCGCCTTGTCAGAACTGCTGCCCCCAGGTGTAAATCCGCGCCCTGGGCCGGCTTCCAGAGACTCTGAGATGAGCCCCTGCTGCCTCGAGGGGCGGCCCGGCTGCCACACAGGTGGTTCCTCAGTCAGGGACCCCAGGTTTGGTTGGAGCCCGATGTGAGGGCCTCTCTGGCTCAGAGAGCAGGGAGGACACAGAGTTTTGGTGAAGGAGCTGTCAGAGCCACTGTGAGAGCCCAAGGCGACGCCCAGGACAGGGTGGGGATGTGAGATGGCGAGACCCCTTTGGACTCGGAAGAGGGGGTGGGCTGTCAGGAGAGGCGTGTGGGAAAGGGTATTGCGGGGGCAGGGGGCGGGGACACCCTGGGCGTGTTGAGCAGTCAGCGTGAGACCAGGCTGTGGGGCGAGTGTCCCTGAGCACCCCAGCTTGTCCTGCAGCTCGGAACCTCTCGTTGCCTGTGTGAAGCCGTCTTCGCCTTCTGTGCTGCCCGCGCTGTCGTGTGTGGGTCAGCATCACTGCCTGCCGGATGGGTCGATTCCTCACTCCGGGTCCACTCCTTGGTGGGGGGAGAGGGGACTGCCGAGTAGACTGCAGACAGCCAGTGGTAGAGTGGCTGAGCCTGGTCACGGCAGCTGGACCCAGGACGTCGCAGACGGACACCGGCTTCTCTCAGTCCCGGCTTCGTTCTCAGTCGGTGCTCTTAGCCTTCCCGTCGGCAGGGACGTGCTCTGAAGTCAGCCTGTACTTACGTAGGAAATCCCCTCCGGCTTGTGTCTTGAAAGCGGCCTAACTCATCCCGTGCTTGTTTCCCCAGAGTAACAGTTACCCCTCCATGGCGGATCCTTACCTGTCCAGCTATTACCCACCGTCCATCGGATTTCCTTACTCCCTCAACGAGGCACCCTGGTCTACCGGAGGGGACCCTCCGATCCCATACCTCACCACCTATGGACAGCTCAGTAACGGAGACCATCATTTTATGCATGACGCTGTTTTTGGGCAGCCTGGGGGCCTGGGAAACAACATCTATCAACACAGGTTTAATTTTTTCCCCGAAAACCCCGCCTTCTCGGCCTGGGGGACAAGTGGGTCTCAGGGGCAGCAGGCTCAGAGCTCTGCGTATGGGAGCAGCTACACTTACCCACCAAGCTCTCTGGGTGGCACGATTGTGGATGGGCAGACGGGCTTTCACAGTGACACTCTCAACAAGGCCCCTGGAATGAACAGCCTGGAGCAGGGCATGGTGGGCCTGAAGATCGGGGATGTCACCACCTCTGCCGTCAAGACTGTGGGGTCAGTCGTTAGCAGTGTGGCGATGACTGGTGTCCTTTCTGGCAATGGTGGGACAGGCGTAAATATGCCAGGTTCAAAGCCGACCTCGTGGGCTGCCATTGCCAGCAAGCCGGCAAAACCCCAGCCGAAAATGAAAGCAAAGAGCGGACCTGTAATCGGGGCTGCCCTGCCCCCTCCACCGATAAAGCATAACATGGACATTGGCACCTGGGACAACAAGGGGCCCATGCCCAAGGCTCCGGCTCCCCAGCAGACTCCGGCCCCCCAGTCTGCCCCCCAGTCCCACCCGGTTGTGCAGCCTCTTCCCACTCAGCCTCCCCCTTTGGCCCAGCCACAGTATCCGAACCCTCAGCAGCCACCCCAAACCCGCTGGGTCGCCCCTCGCAACAGAAATGTGGCATTTGGGCAGAGTGGAGGGACCGGCGGTGACGGTAACTCTCCTGGAAATGCCCAGCCTAATTCTGCCCCCACCGTGGAGTCCCACCCCGTTCTTGAGAAACTGAAAGCTGCCCACAGCTATAACCCTAAAGAGTTTGATTGGAATCTTAAAAGTGGACGTGTTTTCATCATAAAAAGCTACTCTGAGGACGACATCCACCGCTCCATCAAGTACTCCATCTGGTGCAGCACCGAGCATGGCAACAAGCGTCTGGACGGTGCGTTCCGTGCCGCGAGCAGCAAGGGGCCGGTGTACCTGCTTTTCAGCGTCAACGGGAGCGGGCACTTCTGCGGGGTGGCGGAGATGAGGTCGCCCGTGGACTACGGCACGAGCGCTGGGGTCTGGTCTCAGGACAAGTGGAAGGGCAAGTTCGACGTGAAGTGGATCTTCGTCAAGGACGTGCCCAACAACCAGCTCCGGCACATCAGGCTGGAGAACAACGACAACAAGCCGGTCACCAACTCCCGCGACACCCAGGAGGTGCCCTTAGAAAAAGCAAAGCAAGTGCTGAAAATTATCGCTTCCTACAAGCACACAACCTCCATCTTTGACGACTTTTCTCACTATGAGAAGCGCCAGGAGGAGGAGGAGGTGGTGCGCAAGGTGAGTCTGGCTTCCTCAGACACGGGCTCTGGAGGCCCCGGGCCAGAGCTGAGGCTGAAGGCCGTGCGCGCTGGGTGGGGCCCGGGGACCGCCAGTTCCCAGTAGCCTGCAGCAGGGGCAGCACGGTCATGGGAGGGTGTGGGCAGCATCATCTGTGCTTCCCAAGCATGGTCCCCAGCAGTGATGTGTAAGTGGAATGTCACTACGTAACTTTTCCGTTTTCAGAGAACATAATGATTGGGACTATAGTGCACAGCCTCTGTCAGGAACACTTAGGAATGACACTCTGTGGCACTGGGGTGGACCAGCGGGGCTATTGGGGCTGCAGGCCCTGCCCTCAGCGGGCGGGAAGCCCTGGTCTAGAGGCCGTTGCTTCTTTCTCCCTCAAAACCCTAGTGTCTTAGTCTGGAACTCTGCATCTAGGTGGTAAAGAGCTGGGGGTGGGGTAACAGTGAGCATTTGGAACCCAGAGTGCAAGCCTCGTAGTGGGCCGTGAGGTTGGCTCTGTTTCCCGCCCTGTGACCGAGAAAGTCCCAGGCCTGAGCTGGCGTAGCCCATGGGAGTGACTGTGTGCTGTAGGAGAACAGGGCTCAGACGCCTGTGAACTGGCCCAGAAATGGGAAGAATGACAGCGTAACACACTTTGTAAAGCTGGTTTGTCTGAGAGAGTTCATCCCAAGTTTTGCTGTGCTTTTCTGATATTAAAATATCCTTTTCTTAAGCTTTGGTTGACAGTAGATGGGTTTGCGGCCCGTTTTAGCTGAAAGGCGCATAATGGGGCACATAGATAACAGTGCTGTTTGCGGTTTTAGAAGCTACACCTGCTGTAGCAAGTTTGTAAGACGTGAAAATGACTTGGTTCCTCTTTCATCGTAGTGGAAAAGAGAGGGGCTTGTCATTATTTCCAGTTAGTGAAAGTCTGTGTTTTAACTCTTTTAGGTATAAAATAAAATACTGAATTGCTGACTTTACAGGGATAGAGCAGAGGTCATTGGTAATGAAGCTGAAGATCCTTGGTGGGTTTTAGGCAGCGCCTGTGCTGTGGTTTATCTTAGATCCTGTGGCACTTGGGTCTTTTCCCGAAGCTCAGTAGGTTCTGGAAGTTGAGGTTAGGGGTAAATTTCTGCCCATGACCCGGTTGGTGTTTTAAGGTTCTAGGGTCCTAAACGTACGTTAGCGAGTGGGGTTTGGGAAGAGGAAGTCTTTGAGTTGGTCCATGGGGTCCTGCCTGCAGGCAGACTGAGGCTGTTCATGGCTTTGAGCTGTCCTCCAGTGAGCTCGAGAGAGAATTGAAATTCCACCAGAACACTGCTGGTGTGCTTCTTCTTAGACCCGTGTCTCCATGTCTCAGGCTGAGTTTAGTTGCAACATTTTAAGGAAGGACCGAGGGGGCTTCTGACCCTATTGATGAGAAGCCAGACAGGCAGACGTGGGGAGAGGTGGGGCTGTGTGTGAGGGGAGACACACCTGGCCAGAGGGGCCTTGCCTCGAGCGGGTGGATGCCGTGGGTGGGTGGCTCTCGGAGGCCTGGTTCCCGTGCTGCCGTGGCCTGGCCAGTGCCGGGGGGGTGCACCGGTCCCAGGCAGGGCCACAGCCCACCGGGCAGCCTGGAACCTCGCTTCTGAGGGAGTGTGTGTGGCATGTTCACTCAGTTTGTTAAACTCTTTTTCTTTTTACAGGAACGGCAGAATCGAAACAAACAATAAGGATGAACCGGCATCTTCTGTGTTCTGACATTTGACTGAAAAAGCTTAAGAACGTGTGCTTGGTGCTGTTGTCTTGTGCAGGGCCTGACTCGTTGCATCTTTATGCTCTTTGTCTTTTATTTTTGCCCAGATGGATCTGCGTTCATTTGTATTTTTCTATGTATTATAGTATTACAGAGCTCACTAATAAAGGAATGTGTTTTGTCCGCTTATTAGTCAGACCTAACGTGAAACACAAGCACCCTTCACGACAGAACAGAAAACCTCATACGTCCCAAAGGTTCTCTTGTTGTTTGGCAGAAGTTATGTTCTTACTCTGAGTCACTGTCACTTAACATCTTTATAGGGGACTTTCTCACCCTTTCTTACTTTCTAGCAAACACGAGAAACCATGGCTTGTTTTGTCATTTACTGTATTCTGTTAAAATACTTCTCAAAATGCTGAAATCAACAGGTTAATGATCACCTTGTTTGGCCAGTTTGCTATTTTTATTGCCCATTATCTGTCTAAAATGCTAGTCTGTCCACTTGACTTTTCTACTAGACAGAAAGATAGATTTGAGTTCTTCAGATTCGGTGAGCATGCTGTGTTGGTGCAGAGTGTCCCTCGCGGCTCCTCGACCCCGGCGGGGCGGATGTGGGGTGGCTGGCGGAGGCCTGGGCTCAGCGGTCAGCCGGGCTCAGCTGTGTGCGGCCATCCTGAGCCAGCTCTTGACTTGCGAGTCCCAGTGCCGTTCTGAGTTGTTTACCCACGACGCTGAGCTTCCCTCGTAGGACCTCCAGTGCAGCTGGTGCTGGGACTGTCCTTCCACGGTGTGCGGCGGGTTTCGTTTTCCTGTCGAAGGGGTGAAAAAAAAAACAAAAACAAAAAACCTTTGAGAAACTGAGTTTGCTGTCCTGTGTTGTGGAATGAGGGACCTTGAAGAACTCGCTGCCACCTGGAGTCTGACTCTAAGCATGAAAATGGTGCTCACGCCTGTCGCCCCAGCACAGTCTGCACGCGCCCGTTGTAGGGGATCTGACTGTTTAGAGAGCAGGTACCTTCTGAAAACTATTTACTCCAAAAGACCCTCTGAGTTCAAGTTTAAGCTGTATTATTTAGACTTGTATTGAGAACGTGTCATTCTCTGAACTGTTACCGCCTGTACGGAGTCACGGACAACATCGGATAACTTTTCCTCTGGAGAATACAAGCCTTAATAAACAATACCTATTTAGCAAGTCTGCTGTCCTGTCATTCTTAGCTGCGTCTGAGACGCCATCTCTGTTGTCTGCAGCAGGGAGCCAGTAATCCCCCGAAACCGCACAATATCCTAACTTCACTCACCCTGCGCTATGCTTTGTGGAAAAGATTAAAGGAACTTTTTTCTTTTTTTTTTTTCAATTTTCTCTAGCCCAGTATGGGGCTTGAACTCAGGACCCTGAGATTAGGAGTTGCATGCTCTACTGACTGAGCCAGCCAGGCAACTTCGTAAAGATCCAGTTCTCACTCAGTGTGTAGTCCCCTGAACATATTGCAAGCCTTTTCAGACGTAAGCGAAGTTGCAGGAGTTCCGTGAGCGTCCTGCGTCCACTGCCCGGTTGCCCACACTGACCTTCCTCCGTCCACTCGTCAGCTGCAGACACCAGCACACTCTCCCTAAGTCAGCATGTGCATCAGGAAGTTTCATGCTTGGGGCGCCTGGGCGGCTCAGTCGGTGAAGCATCTGCCTTCGGCTTGGGTCATGATCCCAGGGTCCTGGGATCGAGCCCCACATCGGGCTCCCTGCTCCGCGGGGAGCCTGCTTCTCCTCCTCCCCGCTTGTGCTCTCTCTTGCTTCTCTTGCTATCTCTGCCTCTCTCAAATAAAATCCTTTTTAAAAAAGGAAGTTTAATGCTTGTACAGTTTGTTTTACTGTTGCAGTAAAATTTACAGACAGATGCAGAAACCTTAAAAGTTTTGAAGTTTGAGATAGAGTTAAGGACACAGGACGTGAGCAGCACCCCAGAACACTTTCTCCCATGCTTTCCTGGGTACATGCCCCGCCAGGACCCGGTCGTCGGTGTGTGGGCGTGGCAGGTGAACACAGGAAGCCCAGCCCTGCGCCCTGCCAGATTGAGCTGGGGATTTTCCACTCCCCACCTGGTGAGTATTCTACCCGTTTACAAATGCAGCTCTGTTTGCTCAGAATGATTTCTCGGATTTTACTTTGGAAAGTGAGCATCAGACCTTGGGTGCCGTTTTCTTCCGTGTGCTTGGCCACTGGGCTCCCTTAAAAGATTCAGTGGTCCCTAGCTTGCAAGATGACTGGCTGAGCAGCGCCCCCACCTTCAGTTGGGGTTGAAGCAACAGAGGGCCCAGGGCTTTCATGGGCATGCAGGGAGGGGCTGGCTGTTCATTACTGAGAAGCAGGGGCTGGGACAGCCACTTGGTTTGTCTATGAGATCAGTTCCTCAGATGTCACCGAGTAGGAAGGCTCCCTCCAAACCCTGCCAGCTGGACTGGCCCCTGGGAGTGGAGGTCAGGGGCTGCAGACCGCTGGCTGTTGGGGGAGGGAATCACATCCAAGGAAGGAAAGAACGTGTGTGTTGTGGCGGGGAAGGACTGTAGGGGTGCATGCACTTCTAAGCAGGACAGGTTTTGCTTATAAAGGGCTGCATGATGTTAGTATCTGCCCCCCAAGCCAACCGAGTCAGCTCTAGCCTTTACCCAAAGGCACGCCATTCACAGGTGACTCTTTTGTGCGGGCATCAGGTGACGAGAGGGAGTCCCGGAGAGAACGCTGGCTGGACCTGCCTGCCGGTGGCTTCTCCCCAGCTGGGGTTCTGTACCGCCTCGCGTGCCTCATGGCCCGAGATCGAGGAGCTCCTCTCCCTCCAGTAGGATGAGGGCAGGTCACTTGCTCAGTTTCCTAGCTGTGGTCAGGGAGTGGGGCCCTTGTTGGGCCTGTGAGGGCAAGCACTGTGGGCAAGCGGCAGGGCCCCTGGGCCTGCACGATGGTCGTGCAGATAAACTTCCACCTCTCCCTATTCCCTCGGGCTCTGCCTGCCTGTGCACTGTGTGGTCCGTCTCCTCTTGCTCAGCTTGGAGTTAATATTTGCATGTTCAGGTTTTTTTCCCCAAAACCAATGTGTTAGAAAAGGTATTTGAACCGTTGTCTTGCATGGTATTTTTACTATAATTTTTTCTGTGGATGAGAGGGTGAATTTTTTTTTGAGCTTGGAACACCCAGTGGACTGTCCCAGAGTCCATCTTTGTTTACTGGAAAGCTCCCCCCACCCCGGGCCACCCTGGAAGAGGATCCGGGTAAGGGTGTGAATAGTGTACCACTATTGGACACTCACTGGGAAGTAACTGTTCGGATCCCTCCTTCCCTGGCAGCCAGGCACAGGCTTCGGTGCCCCCTGGATGTGGGGCGGGGGCTTAAGCCCTGCACACAGATGAGGTCTCCTTCTGCTTGTGCCGCCTGCCCTTGCTCGGGAAGAGCCAGTAACAGGTTTGGGCTGTGCCCCTGTGAGGTGACCTTCCTGTAGGGCAGCTCCGGGAGTGACGTGGGAGGTGCCCCGACCTGCGGCAGGAGGGTCAGCTCAGAGGCCTTGCGAGGCCACGCTCTCGATCACCCACGTGGTGTTTGTGGCCCCCCCTCCAAGAGTGTAGCCTACCCTGACTCAGAGTGCCCAACCTCTGCCAACAGCTGGATGGAGCTCAAGGCTCATGGGTGACGTCAAGTGCCTTCTGGACACATGCTGAGTGCCACCGGTGTGCAGCAGTGACCCCAGCTCCTCGTCTCCTTCCTGCCAGCTCTGAGGCCTCAAGACAGACTTGGGCTGTCCAAGACTGGCCCGTCAGCTGGAAGCGGACATGGAGACACAGGGTGCCCTGAAGCTGTGGTGTCCCATGCAAGGGTGGACCCAAACACCCAGGTGCCGTGCCCCATGGGAGAGGGCATTCCTGCCGAGCAGAGGGCTCCCGTACCGAAGGCCTGGCCAGCTGAGTGTGGGTGCATTTCTTGTTTTCAAACTTTTTATTTGGAGTAACGACAAGTTTACAGAAGAGTCGCAAGAGCAAGAATAGTACAGAGAATACCTTTTACCTGGATTTGCTTGTTAACATTTTGCCCCATTTCCTTGATCATGTGCTTGTTGTGTATGTGCATGCATGCATATGTGTGCATGTATGTGTGTACATACGTGTATGTGTGCATGTAGGTGTGTGTCTAAGTGTGCATGTGTTGTACGTGTGTGTATCCAGGTGTGTGTATGCAAGTGTGTTATACATGTGTGTAATCAGATGTACGTGTGTGTGCAGGTTTATGGGTGTGTGTGTGTGCATGGAGGTTACATGTGTGGAGTTGTGTGTGTGTGCAATTCTGAGGGTGTGAATGTGTATATCCAGGTGTGCAGGTGTGTGTGCGGGTGTGCATGGGTGTAGGTGTGCGGGTGTGTGTGCAGGGTGTATGTGTGTATGTGTGCAGCTGTGTGCGGGTGTGCAGCTGTGAGTGCAGGTGAGTGTACGCAGGTGTGTGCGTGCGTGCATGTGTGTAGGTGTGCAGGTGTGTGTAGGCGTGTGCACGGTGTATATATATATGCAGGTGTGTGTGCACGTTTTGTGCACTATTTGAGGTCTGCAGTGCATCTTTCACCCACATACTCCAGCGTGGTTTTGACCCCAGCTTGTTAGGCTCTTCAGTGAGTGGGACAGGGCTGCGACTCTCACCTGAGGCCCCGTCTGATTCTAATTTGGTCATTAACACAATAGTGTCCTTTACAGCATTCTGGGGAGGGCCAGGCTCTCACCCTGTGTCTGGACGAAGCCTCAAGGTTGACACTCCATTGACCTGCCCCCACCCCGTTCCCCTGCTCTGGAAGATGACACCCCCACACACACCTTCTTGCAGCCTAATGGGGAGACCCTGGGGTCCATTCCACCCCTTGCAGTGCTCCTTGGGTGGCTGGTCCCTCGGTGGCCGCCTCTGCAGACGTAGGAGGTCGAGGGCAGCTGGTGATTGCTCTCTGGTCCAGCGCACTGTGAGCATGTCTTTGTGGCCAGGGAAGCCCTGCATGGTTGGCCTCTGGAAGTGGATGTGGGTTTAGCCCGGGGGCCGGCACGAAGAGGGGTGGGCACCTGCTGGCAGAGGTAGGTGTCGGGTCCCAGGGCTGGGCTCCGGGGTGCTGATGCCAGGAGCATGCCCCCTTCCTTCCTTTTGACCTGGGCACGCAAAAGGGTGCTGCTTCCTTGGCAGCTGGGGAGGCCCCACAGAGCCCTTCCTGCTGGCGGGGTGGGGGGACCTGCATAGGTCCCCTAGCTGACACCGCCCCCCAGCTCGTGGGAGCCATCATCTGAGCGGTGTCCCCAGTGACGCTGTCATCTGCACCCCCGCTGTGGGTTTCAGAGATGCGGTGTGGGCAGGAAGGCTGCTCCCTGCCTTGCGTCCGGGTATGGTGCAGGTGAAGGTTCTCATGCGGCTCTGGTAGGGTGAGGTCCCCCCCATGCTTCATGCCTGAGTCCTGCAACAGTCCCGCCAAGGCCAGAGGGACGGTGCCTGTGGTTCCTCCCTTACGGTCGGCTGAATGGCACCCTTGGCCCGTCTCCCCTCTCCCCTGGGCTGATGTCAGGTGCAGGCACCTGAATCCTGCCACCATTAGAGTAGATTCGTTCCTTCCTGCTGGGCTTTCCCCTTCCCCTCGCCCGAAGCCCTGAAGTCCAGGAAACTGGAACTCAGCCTCTGGGACACTGGTCATCCGCTGTCTTCAAGGGAACAGAGCCTGGTGACACAGTCCCTTGCCTCTGAGGGCCACTGGGCCAGCTGGGGGATGAGCCCCTCCAGGGGTCCCAGAGTGTGTCAGAGAGTGAGCAGACGTGGCCTGCTGCTGTAGGAGCGCCAGAGGAAGGAGGGGGCAGTGTGGATGGGTGCTTGGCTGGGGGTCTTCCTGGAGAAGGCAGGATGCAGGACGAGCCAGGCTATGAACTGCTCGCACCCCGGGGCGGGGGGCCAGAAGTCTGTGGTCTCCCCAGCAAGCACAGGTAGGGGGGCTCATGGGGCAGAGCAGCCGAGTCCATACCTAGGGGGTCGGGGTGAGGGGTATTGGGGTGCAGGTGGGAGAGCAGCAGGCAACTAGGCATCTGCAGCAGGAGCTCAGGAGTGGGCAAGGGCACAGGATTGTGGTCTGTGAGGGACGTGGTCAGGGCAGCAGGTGAGGAGGCCAGAAGCTGGAGGCTGTACCCAGGCTGCTTGCTGGGA